GATTGATTTGTTTCTCCCCCTATCTCAGCCCAGAGAGATTGACAAAAGCTGCTGTGTCCAATTGGCTCCCGCATTTTGCTCAAAAATATAGTCAATTCACTTTACAGTCTATTCTGTGAAGTGCTTTGAGACGTCTAGAAGATATGAAAAGCGCTATATCAAATGCAAGGTTTATTATTATTAACCAAAGCACAATTTTACGGTTCAAATCTGGACTCTTTCTGGTTCTGCATTGCTCAGCTTTGAATCCACCTGCTCACAGAGCCATGAGAGATGAACTCTTTGACCTACTTTTATTTTTTTTAAATTTTTTTTGTGTGATTTGCTGACGTTGCAAATTGTGCCAAAAATCATAATGCAAATATACACCTATTCTCACGCAGAGCTGGAGATTGAAAAACTTATTTTCCACACACAAGAGTATGGACTGTCAGGAGGAAATCTGCCATGTGATTTTTATTGAGCCTTTGGATCAAATGACCATTCATCAGGGTTTGTAATGACGTATGTAACTCTGTGGTTTTGGTATACGGTGATTACTAGTGCAAAATGCAATGTTTTCACAGCTTTGAGAGTCTCTACTGTGAGATACAGACAAATTGACAATGAAAATTTTACTTGACATATGCGTTTGTGCCGCACTCAGATGCAGCGCTGCACTGAGCAGGGCAGCTGATGGTGGTACCCAGTGAGAAACCTCACTCAGCATAAAGTGCTTAGTGCTGTCAACTGGGATAGCAAGGGAAATGTCACATACAGCGCTTAACCAGCTATCAGTATAAGGAGCACTATATATAAAAAATAAAATTTGTCGGGCTTGATGTTTATATCACTGGCCTCAATACAAGAAAGACAAATTCTACTTCTCTAATGCATTGCATTATACATTTTCCACTTTCTTATTACAGAAATCCTTCCTGATCTTTTTCATTTCACTTAAGTATCTTCTGCCTTGTCCTTTAATCTGCAATTCACTCAGAATGTTATACATCCATAATATAATTGCATTGAGCATTTTCATAAATTAAAGTATAAGCTTGTGATTTTGTACGGGTGATCTTGAATATTAAAAGAGTTGCGGATAGAAACATTAGGAAAATTGCTCTGGGGACTCTCTCTGGGATTAGATAAGATTGGCTGATTTGAACATTATTGAGGGAGGAGTTTTTAACATTGGGTACTCTAGAGATTTACCGAGGTTAGGGGCTAATAGGTTTGGGAACCATTAAGAATTTACAAATTGGGTCAGAGGTTCACTCAATTAGTACCAAAGGTTAGTTGTGATATATTTGCAGGTGTCCGAGTCTGTACACATCATTTGAAAGCAACAATTACTTGAAATTATGAGTATTGCCATTCCTTAGAGATTACGGTACAGATCCATAATCAACGCCTGGTCCACACACAAACTGACAGTAGCATTGGCTAACTCTCTCTCCATCTCCTCCCTGTTTCTCCATCTACTCTCTCTCTCTCTCTTTCCATTTCTTCGCTCTCTCCATCTCCCCTCTCTCTCACTCCATCTTCATTCTCTCTCACTCTCAAAAAAAAGTCTTCAAACAAAAATCATAATAATTTGGTCACTGAATCCATGACTGTTTGTAGGACATTGCTGTGCTTAATTTGCTACTCCGCTTCGCCCACAAAATATACAAGCAATTCACTTGACAGTGTTCTCCGTGATGCGCTTTGAGATGCCTCAACAATGTGAAAAGGCACGATATCAAATGTAAGGATTACTATGAATGTTATATAGTATCTTTCATTTCAGGAGGATGTCTCAAAGTGCTTGCTGAACGGGCACCAAAGATGAGGATTGGAGCTGAGGTGGGGGTTAGGAAGGGAAAGATTACTTAAAATAGATTATGGCAGTTCAATTTCAATGCCCCCCCTCCCCCACCATTTTGCCATAACTTGTAACCTCCAAACATCCAAATATCCATCCATCTCTCTTTTAAACATTCCTGAATTAGTATTTTACCTAAATATATCAAATGTTTTGGACTGAGTTTGTGACTCATTACTTGGAGCTGTGCAGTTTTTTTATTTTTTACTGAGTGTTTTGTATTCGAACACTGCAATAACTAAGGTTAGAACCATAGAGATGTACAGCACAGTTAGAGGCCATTCAGAATACTTTTTTCATGATGTTTCAACCTCCAAGAAGCTATGTATCCAAATCCCAGTTCCCTGTTCTTCCCCTATGTCCTGCAGTATCCTTCCTCTGCACGTGCTCGACTGAGGTTTTTTTACTGTGAACTAGTATGGATTAGTGAATGGCTGTCTGTGAGGAATGGTTGTGAATTAGTTTCTTCTTAGACCAAAAGATTATGTGAGGCATGACCTGACTCAACCCAAAGTTGTAGACACCTAGAAGAATATTAACAATGCAAGTACCTGTACAGACAAGGGTTGATATTGCAAATTCCACTCTTACTGTAACAAAACATATGAGGTAATACATTTTCCTGTAAATCACTTTTAAAAATTGCCTGATAGGTCTTTAAGTCAGTTGTCATAAATTCAATAAAACTTCATGTTCTGCGTGGCGAAATCAATATTCAGACTCCTCCCTCCCCCAACATCAGAAAAGAACATAGTGCTACAACAGTGCGCAAAAATACAATGTAATGGAGGATTACACGACATCCCACTGACCTGGGAGTGTCACAGGCTGGTGCTATTGGGTCTCTACCTCAGTTGGCAGCACTCTGAATCAGAAAGTTGTGGGCTCAAGCCTGACGTCAAGACTCCAAATTCATATAGTCTAGGCTGATGATCCAATGCAGTGCAGGTACCATCCTTCTAATGAGATATTAAAGTAAGGCTCGAGTCTGCCTGTTCAGCTGGACATCAAAGAAGATCCCTCATTTTAGGAAAAACTATAAATTAGATTTCTCTCTGCCCAAAATGTAAACGATTGCATTTCCCAGCAAATACTGTTGAGAAAATACTTTGTAGGTTAAAAAGTAAAAATATGCTGATTGTTGGTCAATGGGGTAGGGAATCCTTTAATGACTTTAAATAAATATTAGGAATAAGAATAATCCTTACATTTGGCATTATGCCTTCCATGTCAGGATGATGTCCTAAAGCACTTCACGGGATATACTGTAATATCTAGTGCTTTGTATTTTGTAGTTGAATGTGTCAACCAATTTGCACACAACAATGTCCCACAATCAGCTTTGAAGTGAATGGCATATTTTATTTGGGAGTATGTTGTCCAAGACACTGGGAGGAACTCCCTTTTCTTTTCAAATAGTGTCATGGGATCTTGAACAATAAGTTGAACAGACATTTCACTCCTTGAGTTTGGATTTGTTTTCTTTTAACATTTGTCTTGCTGGCCATGTTGTGAGAACATAGTTATGTCAACATGGATCGGAATACAATACAGGTTGTGGGTAAGCAGAAGCATCACTGGGACAGGATATAATTTACAAGTATAAGAGACAACTCATAATCCTGAAAAACATCCTCCTTCATTTTCACATGATTAGGGAGACAAAACTCAAATAGTAGTCATTTCTCATTCTCTTTATTCTACTTTGTATAGTCGTGCTACACAAGACTGATGTGTTAAAAAGGCAATGCTGCTATGAATAGGATTGTGAGTTGTGCAGAATTACATAAGGACATACCATCCTTCAAATGAGATGTTAAACCAAAGTCCCGTCTGCTTGTTCAGGTGGAAGCTAACAATCCCTGGTATTATTCGAAAAGAGAGGGGAGGAGTGTCTCCCGGGATCCTGGCCAACAATCCCCCAAATAAAATGATTTATTCACTTCACGGCTGTGACTGGGACATTGCTGTGTGCAAACTGGCTGCCGCACTAGCCTACACATCACACGGTCGCTAAACTTTATAGTATACCATGTGAAAGGCTTTGTGACATCCTCTCGATTTGAAAGACTATACTAGATGTAAGGATTATTAAGGATTATTATTATTATTCTAAAATACACATAAACACATGTTATGTGGAATACAAACTGGGCTGTCTCAAAATCTGCCTGGCCACATTGGAAGAGAATGTGGGGTCCATGTGATGGACATGTGACAGCTTCGTTCTTTCTTGTAGATTTACTGAACCATAGCAGCCGATTTGCTGGTACATAATGGTGGATGAATCTTTCAACTTATTTACAATTCTAATTTCAGGTTCAGCTGCTCTTTCATTTCAGATATTAAAATGAAATTGTCTCTGAAAGGAAAAAAAACCATAATAACACTCTGTCATATATGATAACGAATAATACGTTAACCTCAGGACCAGTGTGGTGAGATTCCTAGCGTCAGAATAAATACATTCCTCAACATTTGAAGGTCATTGGTGATGGATTTGTCCTCTGAAGCCACATGCTGGCTTCAAAAGGTTTCATGCCCGTGACAAGTGAGGAAAATTGAGTTAATTTGTGTATTACAGGTTTCGTTTCTATCTAAACAATCATAAGAATTTTGGTTTGATATAGTGCCTTACACAATAGGAAGACGTCTCAATGCGCTTCACAGGACTTTTACCGTACGTGTTGTGACCAAATATTTTGTAGGCATTTATAGTCGGAATAAATTGGGTGATACCGTTCTGTTTTTTGTTAAAATTGGATGGATCCAAAAAGATTTGGTGTGTCTATGTTTAGGAAATAGGAAACCCTTACTTTTATTGAAAGCTTTCAAACTTGTTCCTACTTTGTTTTTATTTGTATATGAGGCAGATTAAGGTTTAGTTTGTTGGTTCTCCATTTCCTCAGCAGATCAAGTTCAAGGATATTGTTCTTACTTTTAAACTCTGCTACCTCCTGAGGTCTTACTAATGTGGCCTCTCCCTCCTCTCAGCAATTATTGACCTGCTTTGTGTTCCTCACCCAATCTGCCCCACAAACAGTGAACCTTCAACAACAACATCTTGTTCAGCCGTTCTGTCCCCATTCTCTGGAACTTCATCTGGAATAATTTATGTGATATTAGTTAGATTGGAGCTGCTGTAATTCCACAGGTACAAAATGGCAACTGCAGAGAGCACAAATCTCCAGCAGCTTTCAGGTACACAGACCAGGATAATCTGTCAGAGATTCTGGAACACTGGTTACATGTGGAGACACAAGCACCGATATCCTTCCACGAATGTATCAGGTAACAGCTGTCCCCACTCAGTTTCCTAACCTAACCTCATGTCTCACCCAGGTTGGCAGGGATATAAATGTGTCACTGGTACAGTCAGCATAATTCGGAACAAGGTACACAATGATATCAACCATTGACCTGTTTGATACAATGATATACTTGACATCAAATAATAGGTAAATTTCACTCTCTATGTCTGTGCTAGTATGAGCTCCCACACTGGAGCTCTCTGCTTAAGACCATTCCCTGCTATTTCCCTATCCCTTTAATGTTCTGGTTCCTCTCGTATTTATCCATTTCCTTTTTTAAATGCCGTTACAAACTCATCTTCAACAGTTGTTTCTGATGCCAAAAAAACTGTGTAAAAAAAAAAAAAGCCTCTTCTTGACAGATGCAGAATGATCTTGAAAAGAGGTCGATGGAGGTAAAGAAGAAATGTGTTTGTTGGTGGTTGCAGGATATTGGGAAGCTGATGTAATGAGATATTTTGCTGAGCAAAGCAACAGTGACTTGAGAAATGTCGAGGACTAATATTGATGATTACTCTGGTCAGAGTCTGAAAGGTACACATGGCAGCAAAGCTGAATGTAACGTTCTCTTTCATCATTCTAAATAACAAAGCAACAGTGCTGTTATCTTTACATTTCCAGTCATCTTTTAACTATGTAGAATTGCAATAATATGACATGGAAACAGGCCTTTTGGCTCAAGTAGTCTATGTCGTTGTTTATATTCCGCCTGAGCCTCCACTCCTCCAAACACTCTCTCCTTTACCCCTCTATTCAAATTCTCCCTCACATACGCATCAAGTTTCTCTTTAAATATGTTGATGTTTTTTGCTTATACAATGTTGCTTTCAGCAGTTAGTTCCAAATTCTCATCAATCTCTACATGAAGAGGTTCCTCCTTATTTCACAATCTGCTGAAATCCTTGTCCACGCCTTTATCACTTGGCTCAACTAAAACACCCTCCTCGCCAGTCTCCTCTCCTCCACTATTCACTATTCTGCTGCCCGTACTCTCACCCGCACTAAACTCCGCAGCCCGATTACTCCAGTCCTTGCCAAACTTCACTGACTCCCTGTCACAGAGCAGATCGACTTCAAGATCCTCACCACTCCATGTCTTGGCACCCACCTATCTCCAACCTCCTCTCTCCCCACAGCACTACCTGCTGCCTCTGCTCTACTGGCTCCGGCCTCCTCCTTGTCCCTCGAATCCTCTGATCCACGAACAGCGGCCATACCTTCAGTCATTACACCCCGAAGCAGTGGAACTCCCTCCCTCAACCCCTTTGCCTTGCCCCCTCTTTCCCCATTTTCAGGTTGCTCCTGAAGACTTACCTCTTCGACCATGCCCATGGTCACCTTCCCCCTCCCCCGGGCTCAGTGTCGGGTGCCGCCATTGTTAAGTGCCCTGGGATGCCGCCCAGTATGGAGGGCTCTATATAAATGCAAGCTGTTGATCTGCTACTGACTGTCCTATTCTTACACCCCCTCATTTTGGACAAGTGGAATTAGCCTACCAACATCCGCCTAATCAGCAGACGGTATATAAATTCCAGAATATTGGATTGTGTATACTATTTGCTGAGTAAATCAAAATCTCCAAAGACAGTGGCTGTTAGCCTGATCATTAATCTAAAATTTGGAAGAACGAATCCCACTCTTGCATTTTCACTGTTAATGGCTGGGATCTATCTTGAAACTGGAAACATAAATAGCCATGTTTAGGACAGAAGGGGGCCATTTAGAACAAAACATTAAGATCAGCAGCCATTTCCTATCCTGCCACTTTACTCACTCCATGCGTTGCCTTTAAGACTGACCCATTCACATTGCAATTTTTATATTTATTTTACATTTGAATGATGTTTCATTTTGGGAGGATGTCTCGGAATAGCTTGCACAGCTGGCTGAGCACTTGAGCTGGGGGTGGGAGCTGAAGTGGAGAGAGGAGGTGGGGGGGGAATGATGACCCAAAGCACAGTCAAATGCGTGGGGAGGTGGTGAGTTGGATGGACTTGGGGACATAGTTCCAGAGAATGGGGGCAGAATGTCTGAAGGCTCGCCTGCCAATGGTTGGGGGATACGTTGGGGAATATGAAGCAGGCCAGTTTAAAATATTGTTTTGGAGAATCAGATTGTTAGTTGTGCAAAATTTCATATGATACACATTAAGATATGTGGAATATGTCACCCATAGTAGATGCTTCAAAGCCCATTGAATTGTCTGGTCAAATTGGAAGAGAATGTAATGTGCAAGTTACTGAAACTCAGCTGATTCATGGGTGGGCGAATCTTGCAGCCTATTTACAATTATAATTTAGGTTCAGCTGCTCTTTCGTCTCAGATATTAAAATGAAAACAAGTCTCTGAAAGGAAAAAAATACATAATAACTCTGTCATGTATGATAAAGAATAATATGTTAATATCTGAAGCGATTTAGACATTAACATAGTGTTTGGAGTGCTGAGAGGAAAATTAGACAATGGTGATGGGGAAGAAAGGTTAGTATAAGTTTAGCATACTGTAAGTAGGATTCCAGTTACACTTTTGCTCCAATAATTATGCAGCAATTTAAAACTATATAAGTTTAACAGGGGCTATGGATTGACTGAAAGGTATTTTAAAGTGTATTAAATAATTGGAATTCGCCTGTAAAAAAAAAAAACAGGAACAGGAGGAGGCCACTCAGCCCATCGAGCCTGTGCCACCAGTTGATTAGATCTTGTCAGATCTTTTAATCCCAATGCACTTTCATCATAACCTTTATACTACTGCTATCCAAGTATCTGTCCATTTCTCTTTTAAACATTCCTATTGATTTCATCTCTGCAACTTTCTGGGGCGGAGAATTCCACATCTTCACAAACCTCTGTGTGAAGAAATGCTCAATGCCCTCAGTTTTAATCATCCTGGTTGTTTTTAAGACTGAATCCCCTTATAATGGATCCCTCTCCCAAAGGGAAGAGTCATCCATTAACTAACCTGACAATTCCGTGCAATGAATGCACATGTGGGTAAGAGGAAAAATGTAGAAAATAAATAGCAAGTGGTGGGTAGTTGTGTAACTTACATAGATTGTTGATTTCTGCAACAATCTTGAATTTTAAGATAATAATAGTAATAATAATAATCATTTTTGCATTTGATATAATGCCTTATCACGTTTCGAGACGTCTCAAATCGCTTCACAGGATACACTGTAAAGTGAATTGACTGTGTATTTGTGGGCGAAACATGGAAGCCAGTTGATCATCTGAAATCAATGCAAAAAACAGCCACCCCAGGGAGACAATAACTTCCCTGGTCCTATTAGCAAATGCATGGATAAAATACTTGTGGCCCAACTAATGGTATTCAAACCCAGATGACTAAAGGCAAGATTTATTTGAGGCTCATAGCCTCATGGTGCCATTCTCTAACATTGTGATTCTTCAGCTTGTGGAGATGGCATTCAACTCATTGGTGATATCCGCCCTGCTATTTTGACATGTATCACATAGAGATGGATTGGTGTTTTCCTGAAGCCTTACCGGGCAGCATATCCTGAACAATAAAAGGACACATCTAGTGTACGGGCTATATTTCTTGAAGTGTAATGCACACCTTTCCAGGAGCACATTTGGATTGCTGGGTCAATTGTGTGTGATAAGGTCAGGCTGATTTTCTGCACATTGAGATCCTGAACAGTGATTATCCCGGTTCAGCTCTGGTGGGTGTGTTCATTTCATGAAAGGCGGGTATCTCTCCACCACTGGCTGGAAACTATTCCCCGGGTGTGTGTTTGGCAGCCATGCAGTTTGCACGAGTAATTTCTTTGATACTTTTTCTAACTGGCGACACCCGGGACACACTTAAAATGGTAATAGCATGAAATAAATCTGTTGAAAGGATAAAGGTTATAACCCACTCTGTGAATTCATCATTGAATTATAACCCTGTAAATTTATCCTGCATAGTTATTATTATACGGGTTCCCAAAGAGACTGTGCTGTTGACACAAATAAGCAGTATTTGGATGAAAGGAGATTATCATTATTCATTAAATGGCTGTGAAACTCTTCTTTTGCTGTTGTAGTTGCTGCATATTAATAATGGGTCAATAAATAGGGAATCAATTTCGTAGTAAGTAAATCACAGAGTAATCTACATAAATGGCTCCACATAAATTACAAATGTATTTATGCATACTCCTGTCCAAGCTGAAAAATTTCTGTGCTTGGCATCCCTCTCTGCCTGTTAGGGTAAAAGTTATTCATTTTGATTTTAACTCCTCTTGTGCCGTAGGCAACTTCACTTGCCTAATTAAAATGGGAAATGTGAGTGAACAGCGCAGAGTAAAGTTAAAAGGTTGTGGTTCACAGGTGACTCACTGGAGCTCTGGTGAACAGTACCCTAGCCTGGTTGTCACTACTGAGCTCACACTGCAAGCTACATTGCTACAGGGAGTTATTGACTGAAAACCAATGTTTCTTCTCCTTTAGCTTCTTATTAAAATGCATCATTGTCTGCTGAATAGTTTGCCTGTCGTGCTGCTGCTCTGTCATCAGTTGTTGTAGACATAGGGGCAGTGTATTCACAGGCATCAATTCTAATATCGCCTACAAGTATGCACAGCACGCCTTATTGCCATGTAGATTGATCTCATTTACACTCCTCTCAGTATTGAATTGGTGGATACACATGGGCAACAATGTAACTTTTACTCAAAAAGAAATACCAAAAACTTACTGTGGAATAAAGTATATTGTCAGCAATTATATAATAATTATATAATAATGAATTATATAATAATAATGAATTATATTATATTATATTATTATATAATAATGAAAGTATATTGTCAGCAATTGTACAATATGGGATTGAATCTGTGAGTTGCATTAGCAAACCATGTGCAAATTTTGCAGGCTGGGCTAACCATATGCAAGTGCAGGAATTGCAGGCAATTGTAACTCTGTAAGCAACCACCAAAGGAAAAGATTCCAGGTAATTCTGTAATTCTTGCATTACACAATGCAGGGTGTATTCGTTTGTACATTGGTAACCAGGTTGCAAATTTTGCACATGGATTGTTAGCCCAAGATGCAAAATAATAATAATAATAATAATCCTTGCATTTGATATAGTGCTTTCACATCTTCTAGACGTCTCAAAGCGCTTCACAGAATATACTGTAAATTGAATTGACTGTATATTTGTGGACGAAACACGGCAGCCAATTCTGCACATCAGTGTTGCATAAACAGTTGTGGATTGAAGTGACCAATTTATTATTGTTTTTTGGATCCTTTCAATGGATCCTTTTTGCAAATAAAATAATAGAATTCATATTTTTGATAGTCAACGTAGGGTCACTAGGTTACCTGGACTCCTGTTTGCACATTTGGCCAAGAACCCTTTAGCAAGACGTAAACAATGAATCAGAGGATTTTAAGTGGTGCATTATTTCACTATTTCATACTATTCAGACATCTGAAAGCTGGACCAATTTGCAGTGCATTAAAGTCTGACCTTTGTGAGGAAACAGGCAAAATATGATGAAAGGAGATGTACTATTGTAGACATCAAAAATTTACATTCATATAGAGCATTTTGTGTCACGAGAATGTCTTAAACTGCATCACACAGCTGGCTGGGAGCCCAAACTGGGAGCTGGAAGACAGAACGGGACAGGGAGGGGAAAACAGTGACGTATTGTATGGACTCTAAAGGTAAAACCCACAAAACATACAGTCAATTCATTTTACATTCATTTCTGTGAAGCGCTTTGAGACGTCTCAACGTGATAAGACGCTGTATCCAATGCGAGGATTATTTATTATTGAAGCCGAATTCCCTTCTCTTTCTCATCTCCCTCCCTTATGTACATACACAAACAAACAGGGGAGAAATTCCACCTGGGTTCAGATTTTCTCTGTTTATGTAGCATTTGGAATTTGCCAAATTATTGAATTTAGTCTTAACTTTGAAGTCAGCTTTCTTTTATTTTGAAGAAATCCGTCTTCAAAATTATGGCTGTGTTTACGAAATTGCCAAATTTTGGATCCTCTAAAATTGAAGATGAACAGAATAAATCTAGACACAGGTGGATTTTTACCTCTCTATATTGTCATAATCTCTCGTATGCCTGGACTGATTCCTGGGATTTGTATTCTGGCTGAATTATTAAAAAATGTAAATTGGTTAATAAAATAACAAATGAAATTTCAGATGAGATGAGTATGTTTATCTCAATGGATAAGATATATAGATATCGTTATAAATGTTATATGAAATACCTACCATGATCCCAGTTATTGGAGGTACTTGGCGAGTTAATTAAACTACAATGAAGAGTCAAATCTTCTGATAAACAAGTACTTGTTTTCTCCATCTACTTTCTCGGTCTCTCCTTGACATGCACCATCCAACGACAAAGATGGCTGATGGGAAAACTTCTTCCAAGAAATTTCATCTATTTGTTCTTTTATTGCCTGTTTTATGCATTTGCATTTTTTTAATAATTCAGTCAGAAAACACATCCCGCAGTGTATGTTTCGTCCTATATTCCAGGAATTGCATGGAGGCACAGAGGTGATTATTACATGTAGAAGCCTTCCTGTGAACTAGAATTGCTCTCAAGAGATCATTTTTTCCCACTGTTGCTACAGGACTTAAAAAAGGTACGCTGGGAATGTGAAGAAGTAATTACTGTTTCACAACTAGATATGTATTCGCTGGCACCTTGGTTAACTATATCCTGTTCTAACCTTTTACACTTTCTACAGAAACTGGTTGGGGTCTGAAATATTCTGATGAGCTGATATTCTTATGTGTCAACCTGGTTCAGTTGGTAGCACTACCGTTTCTGAGTTAGAAGGTTGTGGGCTCAAGCCCCATGTCAAGACTTGGAACTCACATAGTATAAGATGGTGACCATATAGTGCCGTGCTGGGGGTGTGCTGTTTTGTTGGAGGTTTCATCCGCCGGTTAGAACGTTAAAAAATACTCTATCTGCCTTTTCTGATAGTTTCTCCCAGTGTCCCGGCCAACAATCCCTCAGCTAAAATAGCTAAGGGGTTGTTGGCCAGGACATAGGTGTTGGTTGCCCTTTGCTGTGCACAAATTGGCTGCCGTGTTCACCCACAAAAATACAACCACTCCACTTTACAGTATATCCTATGAAGCACTTTGGGACATCCACCTGATGTGAAAGGCACAATATTAAATGTAAAGATATTATTATTATGAGATTATATCATCCTCAATGACATGTGGGACACAAAGAGAAAGATTCCAAACGACACTTTGAGAATATAGGTAGAAATTGTGATGTTTCTTAACCCATTCCTTGTGTTAATTCGACCAAGGAACAGGTTTAAGAAAACATTACAAATTATATCCTACAGAATGTTCCATCCAAAAATCCTGAAAGGCCATTGTATCCTGAACATTTTTGTTGGGTCTGTCTGGGCGTTTGTTCATTCATTTATTGTTGGTGACGTTATTGAGGTATGTCTCCACACTCAGTGCCATTGGATATGGACCCTGGAATAGTTTCCACATTGAGTCATCCATGGTTTCTGTAGGGTTGCACAGGCATAGGTCACCTCCAAACCTAACAGCAAGGCTGAGATTGGGAAGAATACCATCTGCATAAATGCCCAAATCTTACAGGGGAATAGTAAATCCATTATGGTTTCCTCTTGGACAGTACACAAATCACATTGGATCTCACTGGTGAAACAGATCTGAAGGAAATTTTGCAAGACCAGCATAAATGTGTCTTACATTAATAATCTCTTCAAAAAAAAATAATAATTTGGTCACTCAATCCACAACTGTTTGTAGGACACTGCTGTGCTGCTGCCACGCTTTACTCGCAAAATACAGTCAATTCACTTTACAGTATATTCTGTGAAGCATTTGAGACTCTTGAAGACATAGGGTGCTATATCAAATGCAAGGAATATTATTACATTGGGCTCGTTTTTTTGTCTTTAATTTTGTGGTGGCGTTCCGACCATGAATGGGGCACCACTTCCTGGTGTTCCTTCACAAACTTCTTACAAAAGGAACATAATCTCATGTGTTGTACTCCGCTGATTACCTCATTTCACTTAAGGTGCTTTTCAAGACTTACCTGTTTTAGGTTGTCTTTCCCCTCTGTACTCCGCTCGGCTTGCAACTAGTACTGGGTGTCCAGCCGATACCGTTAAGTGCTTTGGGATGCCCTCTTGACGTGAAAAGCACTTTCTAAATGTAAATTTGCATTGTTTTGTCAATTGCAATACAGAAATGACACACACATATATACCCACACAAAGCCAAACACATACACATATGCCTACACATATACCCACACACATAACCATTGGCCAACCAACAGCAATTGTCAGAAAAAATAACAGTAAATATGGCATCTCGTACCAGCCGGAAAAAGTGCTTCTTCTCAGGACACTGAGTAAGACTCCTCTGAAGAATTGCATGTAACGTCACGTTGACCAACAAGAACTTGTTTGACCTGAGAGCATGATTGCTCCTTTATTTTAATACAGACTTAGTTGCTCTTTGAGAAATAAGAGACCACCCATTTGGTGTGTGTTATCAAAAGATAAATTATAGAAAGCATGAGCCGAGTTGTGATATTGGTTGGAGGCTGCTGATTTGTGATTAACACCCAGCTCTGCTGGAACAATAAATCCCTGATATCACAGTGGAGCACTGCAGGCAAATTACCTAACCTTGGGTGACAATTCATCATCAAGCAGACACTCAGTCATCATTTCGTGGTTGAACTTATCTTTGAAGTGGAATGTATTATTTGGGGGCGAGACAGGGGCGAGAATAGACTCCAAAGATGCTATTTTTGCAAAGTTATCTGTTGATGATGTATTTATTTTAGAATTGTTACCAACTTTTCTCGGACTGCCTGAAATCCTTGGAAATGACCAGACATTGCAGGTTTATGCCTTAAGCAAACACCGATTTCCTCACAGTTTTTTTTCTTGACGTTCCCTGTAAAGATGTGAATGAAGTTTACCAAGTGCTGCTCAATCTCATAAAGGACACGCCAGCGGAACAGCATTTCCTGTCCATTCTACACCATCTCCTCCTTATTCGCGGCGATTACTACGTACGGTAAGAGCTACCACCATTAACAACTCACCATTTCCATTTTTGTGCATTTTGCTGCCACACTGTTGAACGTGTTTTGCACTCAGTACAAGGGTTATTCAGAGTAAATCATTATGGTCTGAAAGCGGTGGATTTTTTCCTATGGGTGATAGAACTGTCATCAGTTGCATGAAGTTGTAGATTTTGTTGTTTTTAAGCTTTGCTGCGATGAAAGTGTACACCTGCCTAATTGGCATGATCAATTCAAACAGTACGTTGCATTTACAAAGCACCTTTCGCGAAGGAATACGTTTCGAAATGCTTCACAGAGGCAGAAAAACTTGAGTATGGGAAACCTGTGATCAGGGTCTATTGGGGATTTAGTATCCATTGACTGCGACTCATCTCTCTCAGTGAAGTCATTTTGCTGCACCTCTTATCATAGGGTAGACTGAGACAGTTGCAGTCTTCTCTCAGTGCCATGCACACACAACACAATTCAGTAAGTCTAAAGACATCATAGGTCTGCCAGTACTCTAAATCCAGTGACTATGAATGGCAGGGACCCAATCAACTTGGCAAAAGAGAGAAGATGATTCTGATTTATGAGGAGAAGCTATACACAAGCTGAAAATATTCACACTGAAGAAGGAAAGGCTCAGAGAAGATCTTATTGAAATATTGCATTCCGAATGTGTTCAAAAGAGTAGAGATAAACTGAACCCCATTAACGTTTAACATGGTTAAAATTCTAAAACAAGGGGACCAAATTCAAAGAGGCAGAAGAGAAGTTGAACAGATACTTCAGATCAAATTTAATTGCTTTTCACAGAGTGATAATATATAAAATGCACGAGCTTGGAGAGAGATTGTAGGAGAAAACTCAAAAGGGAATTAATCAGCCAGTGAGTATAAAGTAATGTCTAATTATTTAGTTATTTATTTTGACTTTGGGGTGAGTCAGATGGATGTGCAAATGTTCTTTCTCCAGTCCTATACTCCTTTAGCCAATGATTTGCTATGGAAAAATCGTATTAGAACCGTAGCCAGGTATAGCACAGAAGAAAGCCATTCGGCCCATTTTGTCCAGACTGGCTCTTTTAAAAAAGCAATTCTTTCAGTCCCATTTACCTGTCTTTACCTTAGGCCATTGCACTCAAGCCCTTTCCCCCTTGAAGATTTTGATCTTAAATTCTCAGTTTCTGTTGACATTTTAACATTTACTACTGTGCTGACAAACCTCTTACCAATATCGATTGAGTATTTAGGAACCAAAAATGTGAAACCTGAACCGAATACAATAGACTTTACAACAACAAATTGCTGTTATGTAGCATCCATCACATTGGATAACATCTTGGAGCACTTCACAACCATAGTATTGGACACTGAGCATAGGAGGAGAGGGCGGGGGTGGTCATAAAGGAATGTTTTTAGGTGGCATCGGGGAATGAAACAGAGGGATGGAATGAGAGAGTTCCAAAGGGTGGGGACATAATTGCTGAAGGCTTGGCCACATATTCTGGGATGATTATGATGCGGGTGGGGAGATGGGGAGAATCTGGGAGAATCTGAAAGACCCAAAGGTTGACCTGTGGGTCTTTGTCGTGTGAAGAAGACCCGAGATTTTCATGACCATTGAAGCACGTTTCGTTTATTGCTTTTCTTTAATCAGTGAAAACCACAAGTGCTTTGAGGTATTTTAATCAGATTCATACGAGCTGGCCTCAAGCTGATAAGTTTCCATGTAAACAAACACCAACTGGTGTTGCATTCAAAAAAGAATACTTAAGATGAAGTCGGCCACGCCACAGCAGGATTCTTTCATTTCCTCATGGTACTGCGTTATATTGTCCTCAGATTGTTTCTTTGTTTTTTTAAGTTTTTCTTAAAGGACTCTTTGATGTAGACCAATAAGAAGCTGTTACGAAGCACTGCACGATGTTACGAATAAACAGAGCTCCTTCCACACTTCAGGTTTTACTGAATTAAGAAAGAAATCCTACGCTGGTTTAGTCAATGACACATAATTTGGGTACCTTTTTTTTCCTAACTCCCAAAAAGTCTTCATAATAATCAATAATAATAATTGCATTACTGCTTTACCACATCATCAAAACACCTCAAGGTGCTTCACAGGATTTATTACAGAGAGTAGTAACTGTGTATTTTGCAGGCAAAATCCTGCATTACACGGCTTACTGGTTATGGTATTTAATCAGTAAAAGTTCAGGGGGCTAACAATTGCTTGAACAAAATGCATGTACTATATTTAATAATTTGCTTAGATCAGAGACATAAACACATTCCAGTTATTCTATTGAGTTAATGTATAGCTTCAAGTAAAATAATACACAGGTGCTTTCAGGTGCTTTCCCGATGTGGAAGACATGATGTAAACTTAAACTGTAATTCTGTTATATTAATCCAGGTTTATCTTTGATTTGTTTGTTCAGATTTGAAGACTGCTGATATATTTCTGCTCCTCATTTAAAAAGCTACAAGTTGGCATTTGTGTCTAAGATCAATTCACTATGAAATAAATTATTTTCTTTGATTCAATCTTGATAAGATGCATATATATAATATACTATATATAATACTCTATGTATGTATAGTACTATATATCAAATATATTGTATATTATACAGGATAGAATATCAGATTTGGATATATATTAAAAATTGATGCCCGTTTTCAACGATAAAGTCTTTCAGAAGCCAAAGGTGCTTGTTAATTAAATTCAGCAAATTCAGCAGTGTCATCTCGTTGAGGGCACAAGCTGTGACTGGACTTTATCTATTTATATTTCTTCAGCAAAGTAATTGTGAATGAACTGAATAATTATCAGTCTGAGCTTATCTTGTCCAACGAGTAACACCTTTTCCCAGTTACAACTCATTTCTAATGTTCTTTAGTCGCCATGTGCAACACTTGATATGGTATCTGCTGTTGCACTGAAGTGAAGATGTGCTGTTTCATGACCAAAGGCATTTTGATTCCTTCCTGAAATTGCAGTATTCAGTCTAAATGCATCATGTTGGTTATCTACAATGACCGTGTGATGTTAACTTGCTCCAGTACTGCAGAAAGAATGAATAAAGCAGCTTGCAATTTTATATTGCCTTTCCTTGCTGAGACATCGCAAAGTACTTCACTAGTCATTAATGCCAAATACATTTTTGTAGGAGACCATCCTCAATTTGAACCAACAAGGTCTTGCAAACAGCTTTGCGGTGAACAACCGATTTATCTGGAGGATCGTTGATCAGGGCACCAGGAGAAACTACCTTCGTAGTGTCATGGAATTACTAAACATCCATTTGAAGAACATGCAGATTAGACAGACAGCAACAACAACACAATTACATTGCATAGCGCCTTTCACTTTGGGAGGACGTCCCAAGGCGCTGGACAATCAGAGTTTTGGACCTGAGCTGGGGTCGGTATTGGGGAGAGTGGAGGGCAGGGAGGATGCAGGGTGATCGAAAGCACCCCCTCCCTTGCTTGCCCTTGAGATGGGTCTCGAAGCAGGCAAGGGAGGGGGTTTCCTTGCAAGGGCAAGATGGTTTTCCAGTCGGGTTTTCGTGCTGCTCACAGCACAGAAACTGCTCTGGTCAAGGTCACAAACGACGTCCTGACCATGTGTGACCAGGGCTCCCTCTGCCTCCTCCATGGACTACTCAATCCTCCTCCACTGCCTCTCCTCCCACTTCAACCTTCAAGGTTCTGACCTTGAGTGGTTCAGGTCCTACCTTTCACACCGCCTCTACTTCGTCGCAGCAAACAGCTTCTCCTCCAGCCCCCTCACTCGTGCGGTGTTCCTCAGGGCTCTGTCCTCGGTCCCCTCCTCTTCACCCTCTACATGCTCCCCCTTGGTGACATCATCTGCAGACATGGGATAAATTTCCGCATATATGCGGATGACACCCAACTATATCTCTCTGACTCCACCCTGAACTCCAGGACTACTGGCGTCCTGACCGACTGCCTGTCCGACATCAAGTCCTGGACGAGGGCCAACTTTCTCCTACTCAATGTCTGGAAGACCGAGGCCTTCCTGATTGGCTCGCACCAGCACCTCCGCACCTCAGGCATTGGCAGCATCAGCCTCCATGGCTGCACACTCAACCTCACTAAGCCAGTCAGGAACCTGGGTGTCTTGTTCGACCCTGAACTGTCCTTTCTCCCCCACATCCTCGCCATGACCGGCACTGCCTACTACCACCTCCGCAAAATTGCCAGACTCCGCCACTACCTCACCCTTCAGGCTGCCAAAACCCTCACCCACGCATTCGTCACAGCATGGCCTGACTTCGGGAACTCCCTCCTCATCGGCCTTCCCAACTCTTCCCTTTACAAGCTGCAGATCATCCAAACCTCTGCAGCTCATGTACTCTCATGCACCAGGCTCCATGACCCCATCACTCCCACCCTCACCCGACTCCACTGGCTCCCCATCCCCCAGAGGATCAAGTTCAAGATCCTCATTCTCACCTTTAAGGCCATCCATAGCCTTGCCCCCTCCTACCTCTCTGACCTGCTGACTCCCTACCAACCTGCCCGCTCCCTGTCTCCCGCTCGACCCGCCGGGCTTTCAGCCTCTCTGCCCCCACACTCTAGAACTCCATCCCATGGTCCCTTCACCTCGCTTTCTCCCTTCCTCCTTCAAGGCCAGTCTCAAGACCCTTCTCTTTGACCAAGCCTTTGGTCTCCTTCCCACCTTTCTGCCTTCCCTCACCCCTACATATCCTCCTCCCCCATGCTCGGGCCCCGACACCTGACTGTTCAGCGCTTTCGGACGTTCTCCCGATGTGAAAGGCGCTCTATAAATGTAATTTTGTTGTTGTTTTGAGGTGGAGGGACTGTGGGATGGAATTCTAGAGGGTAGAGGCAGAGTGGCAGAAGGCCTGCCCACCAATGGTGGGGCAGGTGAGGTGGGGGATGTGAAGCAGGCCAGAGCCTGCTGAGCGGAAGGAGCGGGCAGGATGGTAGGGGTTTAGGAGATCGCAGAGTTAGGAGAG